CCCAGCTATGTATCACAGGAGTAACCTCAAAGAGTACAAGCTCCTAGCCAATAAACACTGCCACAGCATTAAGCATTACGGCATAAAACAAACATATCTCACAGATGCTCGCTCTGGAGGGCACGTCAGTATTCAGAACGCTGGTAGTGGCTTCCTCTCTCCTTAAGGGAGCAGTTGTGCTTTGAGGCATTCTGGAGTAGTTTGTTGGCATTCCACTGGTGATACTAAGAGTCATTGGAGTGGTGGTGGATGATCCCGCTGAATGAGTCAGGCTTGAGTTTACATCGGTTGAATCTTTGATGTAGATGGTGTGTGTGGCAGCCGCCTCGTAAGCGCTGACCTTCCTGGTTGTCAGCTCTTCAGGGTAGAGGAGCACGGGCCGCTCTGTGCTCGTGAACAGTACTGTCTGGCTTAACGAAGCCAAGGTAGTAACTTCCTTAGCTTTAAATTGTTTGTGCGTTTTTGTCACTTGGGTTGGTTCAGCCGCCGCTGGAGAGGCAGCAGTGTCTGCTGCCTTCATTCCTTTAATCACCAAGCTGGCATCTGGCGCGGCGCCGGAGGTCGGCGTGACGTTGGCCCACAGCACAGACTGGTCGGCGCAGGGAGCCCCTCGCACCCTGGCAGTGGTGCCCTGCACCCATTTAAGCAAATAAGAGATATTTTGTTCGTCGCTGCAGGACCATGGGTTGTTGTACAGTGTTACTACTTGCAGCTGGAAGAGCTGATCGAAAGCTTTGTCGGGAATGTATGTGAACTTGTTGTTGTGTAGGTAGAGACTTGTGAGGTGCTGTAATCTCAACAGGGTTCCTGGAAGTATCTGAGACAAGAAGTTATTGGATAGATCCACTGTCTCTATGTTGTAGGGCATGTTGGTTGGAACTGTCCAAAGTTTGTTGCTGCTGAGGTTGAGAAACTTGAGACTGCTCAGTGTGTTGTTGATCAAAACAGCTCTTTCCACCATATTCCTGGAAACATCCAGCACTTTAAGATTCCACTGGTAAGCTGTGTCAAGTTTCTGAAGGACTTTAATGTTGTTATTTATGGCATATAATTCCCACAAGGACTTGGGCAGATGAGCAGGAACATTCTTGAGCCAATTATTTGAAATATCAAGAGTCCTCAAATTGCTGAATCTCGTCAGCTGATGATCGAGATCTACGAACTGGTTAAATGACAGATTTAAATATGTAATGTTGTCTTGGAGTCCGTGTGGCAATACTGTTAAGTTTCTGCCTGAGCAGTCCACGTTCCTGTTGTTTCCTGAGCATGTACAGTTAGAAGGACAGATACCCAGAACAGTGGGTATGAAAAATAGAAGGACCAGCAGGCAGGTAGATGCTTTCAGTATCTGGTGTTCCATTGCTGCCTAAAAATATACAAAAATGACACCCTTTAAATCCATGTAATATATTTTATTTAATTGTAAGGGCTGTCTTTGCAGTGATCAGTTGCAGCAGAAATTAAGTAAAAATATCAATAAACCCCTTTGTGGCACAGTCCTTTTTGTAATTGTTCAAGAGAGACTTTACAAAGCATCCCTTCAGAGCCTGTCATGTTGTCTGGCAGAACGAGACTTGTTTTTTCATCTGCCTTTCCCCCTCAAGCTCAAATGAGGGCTTTCTTCCGAAAATGCAAGTCTCTTCCAAACGTTATACAATGTCTGCTTCTTGTTTTTAGTGATTTCAAGCCTATATTATGTTTGGAATAATGTGTTCTTTTATACAGGATGAAAAAATGGCTGTCAACTGGATCTGCTTTACAAATCTCTGCAGTAATGTAGCAGAACCCCCCCATACAGGCATGCTATTTGCTTAAGCAGAATTGCTTAACATACATCTTAAATTGTTAGGAATTTAGTTGAAAACCCAAATTCTGCATTCATAGTAACATGCACATTAGTACTTGTCCTTATTACCGTGTCAGTTACATTCCCAAAGCTGCTAACACATGTTCGAAAGCTGAATTAATGTTAGTAAGAAATCTCTGACACTGCAGCAAATTCCTGGTGCAAGCATCTCTCATCAACTAATAATTTCGTTCTTATTTCTGTCTCTACTTTTGTAGTAGGTTTTGTGATTAAAAACAGAAAACACAAACTTACCGTAATGTCTTCTGCAATATCAGCACATTATTTCTGTGAAAGATTTAAGCTTAGAGGTCGTCTTGTTCTAGAGAGTAGCTACAGTTGCTGTCTGTGGATTGTGCTTGCCTCTTCAGCTGCATCGTATTGCTGCTAGCTGGGGCTCTGCAACCACCTGATCTGCACTACATTGGAGGACTGCAGAGCTGTCGCTGGTGCTGACTCAAATTTATTGCAAAGCATATATATTCAATAAATTAGTTGGGTTTTCTAATTTGAGTCAGTTAACTTCTTTATGTATTTGTAGCCGTGATACTGCATCAAGACACTACATATAAAATTTTCTTAGCTTAGCATATGAACAGCATGTAAATGAATAGCATTTAAATGTTTCCATTTTAAACGTCCTGTAAGTTGTGCTCTTTTCTGCCTTCATTTAGTCTCTGTTCCAGTAAGAAAGGTTAGTGTTAATTTAGGTTTCCTATCTTGAGCTTACTTAAGCTACCCTGCCAGAATATCTTTTCCTAATTTAAAAATCCTTGGTTTTGTGCTGCTTGGATCAGGTTGTCTCTGTGTTGTTGGGGTTATACCCAGCAGCACATACTGCAGGAATTTACTGCTTTCTATAGGAAATCTTTATCTGCTTGTCTCCAAACAATATGGCAAGGGCGTGCATAGTTTCAAATGCATACATTTGTCACATACAAAATATATGCATATATAGTAACATGGTGCAATGCATAAAGCCTCAAAGTCTTTGAGCAACCAGAACGCTGTTCTTCAGGCATACACGCTCATACATCTCATATGAACAATAAGAAAAAGAAATAGTAAGCATCTTTTCCTACTCTCTCTGTACATGCAGCAGTGTTGAGTTGCGTATGTGCAACTTCAGACTTAATTTTTAGTGGTAACTTTAAAAATGTAATGTCCATGGTAATAGGTACAAACAGGCGGCCTATGTGACATCCAAACATATATTCCCTCCCCCAGCAAACTCAAGGCTGCAAGTTCTTTGTCATTTTGCAGAGATGTCATGGAAACCTAGCTCTAGTATCTAGCAGCTTCTCTCTACAAATCTTATTTTTCTACAAATCTAGGCATTAAATGCCAGTAAAATATGCATGCTTATAATTTACCTCTGAGAATTCCCTTCAATTTACCATCAAATAGTTAAAATAGAAATGCCTGGTTCTGGGCAGGACAGTGAACTTCTCTTGTACTTGAGGCCCAAGAGGATGGGCCCACCTGGGCATCTGGAGTTAAAGGAACCTGCAGTCTAGACAACCTTAAACCAGTTTTTGAAGTTTAATAACATCAATCTGAAAATCCTGCTTGAGAGGAAGAAAAGGAAGAAATTAGTAAACATTACAGTGCAGTTAATTCTGATAGTCGTCTGCCTGGGTGTTCTGTGAACAGTTTGTTTCATCCACCAAAACCCCGTGTCTGGGTAAAACACCACCTTTTCGTATTTCATGTGTGTGAAGCCATATCCTCTTTTTCACAGCCACTGTACTACCAAAAAGATGCTACTATGTTACTGAAAAATAATCCAAAATAATGGGAGTTTTTACAGGAAGCATTTCATCAGTCTTTGGTCTGGACTGAGGGCTGGGGGATTTGCTTTAAACACCTTCATCCTCTGTTCCCCAGCGGTTGCTCCATGTGATGCAGAAAATAGGCCTCTGTGTGAGGGAGTCTGCATGTGTGCATGCCAGGGCGTTTAGGCTGTTTTGAGTTAGAAGCTTTGTATCTAAGCAGATAACTCTGTTATGCTTTAAGCAACCAAAACATCTTCGAATTAGAAAGCTTTATTAAAATTAACTTGAAGTCATTGCGTTCATTTATGTAGTCTAATAGAACAAACCTTTGCAAGAAGCTCTAAAGTTTTGCTCTGCACATCTGTGTGTTGGCTGTACTGACGCACAGAGGTACAGTCTCCAAAATCAGGAATCGTTTGTTGTCTGCGCAGTCACTGCTGGCCGTGCAGCGGGCACCGGGCGTGCTGTGCTCTGCCACGGTCTGTTTCAGGCAGAGAGGGGTTCCTCCCTTTTGTGAAAGCTGCCGTTGAGAAATGCTGGGGAGCTGTTGCTCGTGCTGCGGTCTCACTGTTCTTGCCTGTGTCAACTTCTCCATTAGTCAGTTATTTGAGGAGTGCTTCGTTTAAGAAAAATGAGAAGCATTTTGGAAAGTTATTTTGGCAACCTACTGCGGATGTTCTGGCTGCGGCAGCGGTTCGCAAATCTCTTCAGTAATTAGCGGGAGCGGTGGGGGATGCGCTTCCTGCGCTTCCGCGTGAAGTTCCTCTTGCTGGCCGGGGTCCGAGGCGCGCAGCTCGGCCGGCTCCGTGAGCCACGCAGGGGGCGGCGGCAGCTCGGGGCTCTCGGCCGGCGGTGGGCGCGGCGCCTGCTCTGGGCTCGCCGCTTCTGGGCCGGGAGCCGCAGCCGCGGCGCTGGCGGGGCAGCCGCGCTCTGCTGGGGGCTGCTGCCTGCTGCCGCTGCCGGCGGTGCCGTTGGGTGATTTCTCCGGTGCGGGAGGGTCGTGCTGTACGGATGCTTCTTCTCTTAATTTCCAAGGCAACATAAATAAAACTGATGAACGTTTGGTAGCCTGGCTGGAGTCCATAAAGGTATCTGGAGTGTCTCCGTCTGCAAACGGAGACTGACCTGCCCAGTTTGAATCGGCTAGCAATGGCTTCTTGCAGCATCTCCATAGAACAATCATACTAATAGCAATTACCATACCAACCAAAACAATGCCCATTATCATAGCTGCAACCCAGCTCCCGTTGGTGGGCTCTATGTGTGGTTCAGGCAGCTGTGGCGATGTTGTCCCCGCAGTCAGCGCTCCTGCAGGCTTCTGCATGCTGGGGCCGGCTGTTTGCAGCTGGGAGGTGGTAGATCTGTCCTCTGCCGGGCTGCCGGTGCTGGTGTGCACAGTGCTTCCACTTGTGGAAGCATTTGAAGGTATTTCAGTGGAAAATGATTTCCAAATTTCTCCACAGAAGAGAACCCACATTACTGCGTTGCTGACCATTTTCCTACAGTCTGTTTAAATATCTCCTCCTACATCAAGAATAAAGTAAAACACATTAAATTGAACCTGAAGTGACAGTGCTGATACCAGACAATTTTATATTTACAGTCTAAAAAAAATAGGCCAGATTAAACTTGCATGTTTTTTGTCATTTGTATGGTCAACAGCTTTGTCACTGACATCAATATCATGGTGGGTTTTTTTGTTTTCTACCTTCTCTGAAAAAGGTGTTTGGAGAGAAGTGCAAAGGTGTTTCAAAATAACTTTTATCTATCACAGAAATGATTGTGGATGTGAAATGAAATATAAACACTCACAGCAGTACTGAAAACAAGAGTAAAGAAAATTGCCCTACTTTATACCTGAAGGACTGAGAGAGAAGCCTAGAGATAAGTGAGACCTGGGTGAAAGGTTTAAGGTCTATTTCCTGTTCTTCCCTCACTTCCGCAGTTAAGGTTAGAGTGTAATAATTTTGCAAAAGTTACCAAATATTGCGACTGTAATGGTACAGAACTGCAATATTTAACTGTCTTTGTAAATAAATTCCTGCACAGGGGGCAGGTTTTGTAACAGAGAAGGTTGTCTTAATGTTAGGAGGTTGGGATGGAGCAGACTTTTTTCTGTACTGCTCAGAGTTCAGGTTTTGAATGTCTGTATGATGCACATCATTAAAATACAGACACCTATTGTGATTTCTACCTGAAGTTACTTTGTGTGTTTTGAGATAATTTGTGATCACGCTGCTCTTGTGAAGCTGCCCCTGGAGCCTCAGTGTGTGTAACTATAAAAGCCAATTTCAGATGCAACAATGCAAACATGTACGAGCAGCAGATTAATGCTTCTAGAGATCACTGTCTAAACTGTGAGATTTAAAACGGATAAAAATGACACCATTTTATTTTCTTCTGCTCGAAAATATATTCTGTTTCAAAATATATTAAAATGATGCATACGTGTAGAGTTCATGATAGTTCACAGTAGCAGCACTGTAAGAACTAGATGGAATGTCTGCGTCTTCCAAGTACTACAGGAACTTTGAATTAGCTTAGGAAGTGCTGTACAAAGTGCAGTTCATTTAAAAATAAATAATGCAAATATTAAGTCTTTACATTTTGAATTTGATTCTTACCTTTGTCTTCTGTCAAGCAAGCATTCTCTTAGTTTTTGTTTGAAGCCTTAAGAGGACAGACTGTGCAAGGAGTCGAGCAGCTCTAAAATGGCTTGTTGCGCGTTGAAGCAAGTTTCTGCAGCTAAAGAGGAAGTTTACCAACACTTGCTGCAGGAAGTGTCAAGAGTAGGAGGACTACTAAGAAGCTTAGCTCAAGGTTTGCATGATTTAAAAGCAAACTTTTCAGCTCAGTTGTCTTTATAAAAGTCAAATATTTAAGTGGCCTTTGTTGGGTGTGTGTCTGTTACGTAGGAATTCATGAATGCTTGTTTTCCAGTCCTTGCTGAAAATGGTTGTGCTTACAAATTTTTTTGAATGACACAGAAGTAAGTTTGGATTGGATTTCATTTTTACTAATAAAAATTCAATGGTGGTTTTGATGAGTTATCGTTGTTATTAATGGAAATGCAACCATAGGCTTGCTACAGTGAGTCATAGAGCACTATCTGATCACGAGGTGCTGGCTTGCACATCTTCCTTTAGGTAGCTGTGTTACAGGCAGATAGCTGCAGATCTCACCCTTCCTCTGCCTCCCCTCCCCACTTTGCTTTTCTGTCTGGACAATGGTGGCACCTGTTGCCACCATTAAAAGAGGACTGCATGCTCTAAGCAGTTGTTTTTTGCTTTCTATCGTAACCCAAACTACTTTTTTGTCTCCTTGAGTGTTTTGGCCAAGAAAGGCTGCCTGCCAAAAGAAACGTGCACAAGTCTATCCTCACAGCATTTTGCAAGTGCATTCTGGTGCCTTCCACCATAGCCATTCCATGTCCCATGCCTGCTGCTGTGCTCTGCTGGCTGTGCTGGCACTTTTCCAGTCTGTTACCAAATCCTGCTGCACATGCAAATCCTGATCCCATGCTGATACTATGGCACACACTTTCTTGAGTCTTACCTCATCCAAGTTCCCTTCAATCCTCACAGTTTCCACTTGTCTTTGGCTGCAGATCCCACCCTCATTACTGTTTCTTTTCCTTCTTTCCACTGATAGGATCCTGATTCTCTACTTTTTTCCTGCTTTTTCACAATACTGCGGTTTTACCCCTTGTGACTTGGAGAAAAAACAGAATGTAAACTTTATTTAAAAACTGATGTTTCTAGTTTATTGATGATTACAAAAAGGAGTTCTTATATTTTAACATACAGTACAAACATCACATATTTACACCTAAAATCAAAGCAAAAAGCATGACTGCTCTCAATCTGGTTCAAAAGCAATTAAGCTGATTTCAGAAGTTTTGCTGGAATAAACCTGAAAGGCATTTTAACAGAATAGTTTCTGATTCTGTAATGGCATCAAAGTTGTGACTGAATTATGGTTTTCTTAAAATAGCAGGTGCCTGTGTAGCACTTTAGTTTGCATAAATATAGCATATTCTAACTGTCCTTTCCTTTTTTTGTCCCCCAGTGATCTTTAAAAATGGCAAAGTTCTGTCCTGCTTTATCCTGTGTGGTTCCTACAACCATGATTGCTGGTTAAGAGAGTTAAAACAGCCCTGGTGCTATTTCTAAAAATCTCTTGAATGCAGTCCTGCTCCCTTCTTGATGTACAGGTTTTTACAGCATACCCACTGCCTGAGAAAATGAGAAACCTGAAGAGTTAGCTTTACCGTGTTACAATGTGTGTTGTTTCTTGAAAACTAAGTTTCTGTCTCATGTTAATCCAGTATAAAATGTAAAAGCTGAAGGTCTTTTTAGTTGACTAAATCTCAACTACAAAATTGGTTAAAATGTTTTTGTCTGACATTGTTTCTTTGTTTTCATGTTTATTATCTGTGTCTTTAACGTGACTCTCAGCAGATTCATCTTGGGTTCTCATTTGGATTGCAGCATCTCTCTCTGATAGCAAGTCCTGCATTACCACGTTAGTGCCAGTTGTCTCCTTAGGTGTCCTCTGCCACGTTCCTGCTGCCGTTGGCCAGAAGCTGTTGGTAGCCAGAATATCACCATTGCTCCTGGGCCGACGTTTTCCCTGTTGAGCTTTTTTGAGATAGGACAGTTTATTTGCTATTACGACAGTTGACAGGAACAAAAAGGTGCAGATGAGTACAAGGGCTGCTATTATAATGAAGCAAATCAGCGTAAGAAACTTATTGTCTTCACATATTTCTTTTGTCATGGGGATCTTGGGTTTGCTGGTATTCCTAAGTCCTCCAGTGTCAGGAACGCTTTGGGCAGAGGAAGGTGAGGAGTTTGGGCCCATTGTTGAAGATAAAGACTGGGAGGTGGCTGTCAGCATTTCAGCAGTGGGTGTTGGGTTGCCATTAAAATCAATGCCTGGAGGAGATCTTGTGTTGGCTTCTGTTATGTTCTGACTGCAAGTTCGGTTTTGGCAGATTGGATACCAGATTTCATTGGTAACCCTGGGATAGTCAGTATGGTTTGCACTTAATTGCAAACACAATGAAAAGATTATCGCAAGAGGGAAAGCAGAATGTGGTTTGCCACGTCTCTTTGTCTTCATCTTCCTCTTCAGTCACCTACAAAAGTAGAAATTCTGGTGTTAGGAAGTAGCAATGGTAGTTCTTAGAGGTTTGAATCAGGCTTGTCAGGTTTACTAGCCAGCAGCTTTTCTGATCAGAAATGTGTTGTATCTTGGCCTCGTGCTTACCGTTAGGAGGGAGCACTCAGCTGCTTGGAATCCTGACTGAATCGGTGGTCTTGGACTTCAGCTCTCACAGTGCTGAATTCCAGTGTTTGGAGGCTTATGTGTGATGTGTATGAAGATGAAAAAAGAACATGGAGCAAACAGAGGAAAGTGCTTTCTGCTGAGTGCTCAGTGATTTGTGGATGTCGATATGGACTCTGCTGTAGTTCCTCCTCTTTAAAACTAACCATATTACATCTTTGAGTTCATCACTTCTGCTTTTAAATGGGGAAGGGACTCACCCATGTAAAACCTACAAAGTACCGCTTTCTGCTTCACCATGTTTCCCCAAATGTGGGAGAAGTAACTGCGCTCGTACAGATGGCCAAGCAGAGAGCTTTAGTTGAAAACGTTCCTGTAAATGGCAGCAGTAACTTGTTCTAGTCATTTTATTTCTTATCACAGATGTCTGGAATATTTCATAAATCCCTAGGAAAATCTTTGTTCTCTAATATCTGATTTATTGTACAAAAGACTGTATTGCAAACATACTTCAGATTGTGATATTTCCGTTAAAACCTCTGAAATTATGCAGATTACCATTAGTATTATGCTCTGCTCTACATTAGGGTAATATTCAGATTTGCATCATGAATCAGAGACAAATAGGATAACCTCAGAGTGATGCTGATGAGAGAGAGAGAAGTTACTGCATCATGTCTGTGCTGAGTCTTCTCAGGTTTACATGTGTGAGACACCCTCAGGTCTTACGGCTGGCTGTTGTGCTCCCGTCTCCTACCTGTCTCTGTTAACAGAATGAAATGTTTCCTCCAAGTGCTGTAGTTTACATCTTGTTCGTGTATAAAGGATGACTGACATTAATGGTGCTCTTTGTAGAAATGCGTTTCTTCTTGAAGCTGTTACTTCAAAGGTAACAAAGCACATCTGTATGCTTCTAGGTTTTGGTAACTTTGAAATGTACCAGAAATAAATTTGCTTTTGCCATAGTTGAAGCTTATCTACCAGAGAACTTAATGTGTTTACACTCAAAAATCAGAGAGCTAAGCTTGCCTGTCTTTTCAGTGTCCAAAATGACATCTTTCATACTCCTGGAGTCCCCCAGGGAAGGGAAGGGAAGGGAGTGATGGGCCTGGGGGGTGAGCAGGGAGCAGGTGGTGGTGGCTGCTTACGAGGCAGAGGAGAGGAGAATATATTTGTATCTTTCTTTGCAATTCACACTGCAAACTAAACTCTGCTCCGAGATGAGTCATTATTAAGTTTGAATTAGAAACCATCTTAGTAATCAGCTACAGCTTGGGTACAATATTTATCTTTCTGTGGTAATGGTTACTTGGGGAAATGCCTTGTTGCACTCTTCAAAAAGGAGGAAAAGCAGCAACAGCACAGCCTTTTTTGGGATGGAAAGAAACAAAACCTTTCACAGAGTTTCTGCATGACATACAGAAATGAGGTGCACTTTCCAGTACAGATGCACTCCAGTCCTTACTGCCCGAGAACTGCAGCTGTACGAATGTTTATTTGGACCAGATATGCTTTTCTTAAACATAAAGAAACTAGTATTGTTAAAGGCTTCAGTTAAAATCATGTTAGCAAAGGAACTGTTTTTTTTTTTAAAGTTTAAAAACTTTTCAGTTTTTTTCTTTAACTCATCCATTTGTCCCAGGTATTGATGGGGTCCTCTGTCAGCGCGCAGTAACAGGAACTTCAGAGCAATGTAGACTGCTATTGTTATTTCTTTAGAGTCTGATTGTGAACAACTTCTAACATCACTAAAAGCAATTGTTTACCAGATTCCTTAAATCAGGCAGAGATTGATTTTTAACTATTGTTACTGGTGGAGTTGTACTTAAACAAAAAAAGTCAACCTTACTTTCTTGTATAATTTCCTACCAAATCTAGGAAACTTTGAAGTGGAACTGAAAGTAGAAGGAAAATGTGCACTTACCTTTCCACGGTGCAATCAAAAGAAAGTTGGTGTTTAGGTATTTAGTCCTTTAATAGTAAGATTTCTCTGTGCATGTATTTGCTCTTAGGATGCAAACGTCCATTAACATGAGGCAAGTAGCTTGGACAGTGCTGCTTTTTTTTTTTTAAGCAAATCTGTAACTGAAATTACATGTCCTGTATTCTAAGTGGAGAACTAAAACCACAGTGATGACACACTTCCTTCTTTTTTTCTTCTTTTTTTTTTTCTTCTAAACTACGATGCCATGACATCTTAGAGGGGGAAAAACACCAACTTGCCCAAATTAGCTTTCTGAGTAACAGGAAGTAACACAGGAAAAAAAGCCTCTTGGGCAGACAAATAAATACTTTACATTTGTGAAGTGTATCTCCTCCGTTATCCTGTGCTCAGGTGGTTTACCCTGGATGTTACCAAGAGCAGTGTCCCACTATGACCAAAATGACTTGTGCTCGCAGTGCTTAGCAGACATTTCCATAGCCTGTTGTCTTGCTTTGAAAGAGTTGGGTTGATGCTAGCTCAAAACAAGCACGAGTCGTTAGAAGTTCAAAAACTACTCTAAGTTTGCTTTTTAATTCTTTCTAGTAGAACTTTATCTGCTGTACTAACTCTGAAAACTTGGTTCAGACGGATGCTCTGTCTGATCTCATAAAATTCAGTAAAGCATTACATGAGAGCAAAGGGTTCTTAATATTTTTATAGTACCTGAATGCTTTTCAGGTAAGAATTATTTCACAGATGGGTCCTTTGTACTACACAAAGGACCAACCATTCTTAGAAACAATCCACCAAGCATTAGAGTACATTGTTGTGCTTGCTGCAGTATTTGGCAGACAAAATTAGCTGAAAAAAATGGTATGTGGAAGTTTAATTAGTCTTAACCAAGACTATTTAAATAATTTATTTCTACTTATAAAAGTGGGTATAATATGAACCTGTAGAAATGTCTTAAAAAAAATAATAATAAAAATAGAGTTTGAGGTGATACTTTACACTTTTTTTCAAAGAAACCCTTAACTTGCATCAGCTTTGGGCCAATTGATGCACTCTTCCTCACCAGTGTAGATTTTATTTTACCTTTTGTTGGAGGTGCTAGATGAGCCTCCTGGCTGTCCAGAGACTTCATGACAGTGGTAGGTGATGTGGCACTTCAAAATGAATGAATCCAAGCTTTAGCATACTGGGCTGAACTTGGTTGGAATATGAGCCGTGACAGAAATTAGGCTATGGATGTCAGTCCAATGTCATTGCTTTGAGTTTGACATTTTTGGGACTATGTAAATGTCAGTCTGTTGTAGTGTAGCAGTGTGTGTGACGCAGCACTGAAATGTTTTATTATGGGTCTAAAAGGCAAACCCAACAGTGCCTGTCATGTTTTCTTACAGTTTCAAGACTGGCCAGATCAATGGAGATTTATTGATATACCACGTCCTGCTAACTCTGAAGCCATACTACGCAAAGCCATATGAAATTGTGGTGGACCTCACACATGCTGGCCCCAGTAATCGCTTTAAAACTGACTTTCTTTCTAAATGGTTTGTAGTTTTTCCAGGCTTTGCTTATGAAAATGTGTCAGCAGTTTTTATTTATAACTGTAATTCTTGGGTCAGAGAATACACCAAATACCACGAAAGACTCTTGACAGGTTTGAAAGGAAGCAAAAGACTGATTTTCATAGACTCTCCAGGAAAGCTGGCGGAGCACATTGAACATGACCAGCAGAAGCTTCCAGCAGCTACCTTAGCTTTGGAAGAGGACTTGAAAGTATTTCACAATGCCCTCAAATTGGCTCACAAAGATACCAAAGTGTCTATAAAAGTAAGTATTTTCATGCTTTATTAGTGAATTGTTGTATTTTGATAAGATTTTGAATGCGTTTCTGCTGTCTTTTAATTTTCTTCTCTGTCTCATAGAGAAATCACAACACAGTATAATTTCATACAATTTCATACATTTATCTTGATCAGATAGAAATGTCAGACTTGTCTCCTTCTATCATTAACAGCAGGTGCTCAACCATTTTTTGATTCTCTTTCTAAGGTTGGATCAACAGCTGTGCAGGTGACATCAGCAGAACGAACAAGAGTCCTGGGACAGACAGTGTTTTTAAATGATATATACTACGCCTCTGAAATTGAGGAAATATGTCTTGTTGATGAGAATCAGTTTACATTGACAATTGCCAACCAGGGAACACCACTCACCTTCATGCATCAGGAGTGTGAAGCCATTGTGAGGTCCATTATTCATATACGGACACGGTGGGAGCTGTCACAACCGGACTCCATCCCACAGCACACTAAAATTCGCCCTAAGGATGTTCCTGGAACACTACTGAACATAGCATTGCTCAACTTGGGAAGCTCAGACCCCAGTTTGCGGTACTGATCTTTTAAATTAATTTCCCTTTGTAAGGAAAAATATGGTTTGCAATATATATTTATTGGGTACATTTGATTGGCTTGCTGTTGAACTTCCTGCTTAATAGCTGTACGTTGCAGAGCAAGTTTTTGGGTCTCATCAAAGAGAGCTGCCTCCAAAAATGAGTCCTTGCTCACTGGCAGCCTCTGTAGCCCTTGGCTCCTGCCTCTCAGCCACTGAGGTGCATGTGGAAATACCTAGCATTTCCTGGAACTAGATGCTCTTCTGAGAAGTCATGTACCAAATTCTTCAGGCATACTCTGTAACCTTATCAGAAACAGTTTAAAACAAAGGAGTAATTTAATTCATTTGTCCAAGGCAAATGTTGTCTCTGAATCTTAACTGATGCAGAAAAGCAGCTCAAGGTTTAAATATAGCACATTATATAACAATATTGATTTGGTTTTGGAAATGTGACTGCCATTGCTGCAATGTCTCAGTGTAATGTGTGTATTTTAAAACAGACAAGAAGACTATTACAAATCACATTGCTTGCTTTGTTTACAGGTCTGCTGCCTATAATCTTCTGTGTGCCTTAACCTGTACCTTTAATTTAAAGATTGAGGGCCAGTTACTGGAAACTTCAGGTCTATGTATTCCTGCCAACAACACGCTCTTTATTGTGTCAATTAGTAAGACTCTTGCAGCTAATGAGCCACACCTTACCTTGGAGTTCTTGGAAGAGTGTATTTCAGGATTTAGCAAATCGAGTAAGTAACACTGGTGTTCCTCAGTGCTAACCATGAACATGAAACAATTTAAGCTGCTAGCTGTCAAGTTTAACAAACTTCCTCATGTTACTGAATCACAGCAACTTTAAGTTACTAATGCTTCCTCAAACTGATTTGGATGTTTTTAAGATGACCCATTTATATTTATTTCTTAATAATCAAGTTTAATTAGATAATTCTGTGTTTCTGTGAAGCTGTGTAATTCTCAGAAGCCAATGTTGTGACCTGGGGGGCATCTGCTGGAGCAGAAATTCCAACAGTACTTTGATTTACACTTCTGAGTGTACCCTTTTCTTTCTGCATGAAAAGAAAGGAAGCAGATATTTTAAAAAGAAATAAAGCAGTCCAAGCCCAGTCTTTCTAGCTTACACCAGCCATCTCATTTATCTAGACAATTACTCAGTGTGATCACAACACAAATTATTTGTTTCATACCCCTGACAGTTTTGTATACTGAATGATCTGGTGATCAGATCCCTATCACACTGTTTTTGATTCACCAGAATTAAGAATGCAGAGGACAAAAAAAAAAAAAAGGAAAAAAAGAGCTTGATGAAGTTCTGAGTTCTAGCAGATACCTTAAGAAAACAGTTCGTGTCTTTCAAATTTAAGCCTTTCAGATTGATGATATCTCCTATCTGGTTCTGCCATTCTGCTTTTGTTATCTCTGTTTTCCAGACATAAAACAGCTCTGATTTTACTGCTGGAAGCAGTTTGGAATACATTCTCAAGATTAAAAAGAGATATTGTCTTTAGTCCCACTTCATACTAAGCGTACACATCTTTGTCACATGTCTTAAGATATAAAATGTCAAAATCTCCTTGCTAGATTCTTACAGATGTTCATTGGATGTTGTTATTAGCAGTGTGCTCCTTACAAAAGCTATGTTTTAAGGTATTATTTGCTCAGATCTGATAGTCGTTACTTTAGGAGGAAAATGAAAGGGGTAGTGCTTGGAAATAGTTATTTACCTGTTCATAGAGACCAGCAGTGATCTTTTGTTACAAAGTGAATTTTAATTTCAGGTATTGAACTGAAACATCTTTGTCTGGAGTATATGACTCCCTGGCTGTCCAATCTGGTTCGATTCTGCAAACACAACGACGATGCGAAGCGCCAGCGAGTCACTGCTATTCTTGATAAGCTTATAACAATGACCATAAATGAAAAACAGATGTACCCTTCTATTCAGGCTAAAATATGGGGAAGTCTTGGACAGGTATAAATTATGAACGATTTCTTGTAATTTGTTTATAAGCAGATTATAGTGTTTTCAATCACTTACATAAGGATAAAATTTTTGACAGACAGGACCTTGCTTATTTCTCAGAAGTATGTTTTGGTTTTTTTTTTCACCTCAAATCCAGTTTCTTCTCAATAGCATTTTAGCAGCATTTTATGAATAGCTGTGCTTTGAAGCAGAGAACAAAATAAAAACGATACTGTATCATAGTTCTTCTGCAGTTGTGAAGCATTTTGATCTGATGCAATTCATTTTGCAATTCTAATATTTCAATAGGCTTTTTCCAAAAAGGTGACAAATCACTGGGACTGTTTCTTCTATTTATGATAGCTATGCACCTTCACCTAAAAAAAATATAATGGTTACTTATTCAGAAGGTTGTTTACTGTAGAAAAATTATGTTAACCAAACAGTAAGAAAGGCTTTTTTTTCTCTACCAGATTACAGATCTCCTTGACGTAGTGCTGGACAGCTTCATCAAAACTAGTGCCACAGGGGGCTTAGGATCCATTAAAGCTGAGGTTATGGCAGACACAGCAGTAGCACTTGCTTCTGGAAATGTAAAATTGGTTTCAAGCAAAGTGAGTTCCTTCCTTGCCTCTTAACCAGTAATTTCACCTTTAGATAACAACATAGCACTGAGGTGCTTTCTGATGACTGAGCAATAATGAAAACAAAACAAAAAAAAGAATAACTCCAATGTTGATTTTACTGAAATTTTGAGCTCTGCTCTTTGTTTCATAAAAGCAAAATGGTTGCTCTCTTTTCAGGTGATTGGAAGGATGTGCAAAATAATTGACAAGACTTGTCTGTCTCCAACTCCTACGCTGGAACAGCACCTGATGTGGGATGATATTGCCATTCTAGCACGTTACATGCTGATGCTGTCCTTCAACAATTCTCTGGATGTGGCTGCACATCTCCCCTACCTCTTTCATGTGGTTACTTTGTTGGTGGCCACTGGACCCCTTTCTCTCAGAGCTTCCACTCATGGTCTTGTCATCAACATCATTCATTCTCTGTGCACTTGCTCACAGCTTCATTTTAGTGGTAAGTTCTTAACAGGTTTTCAATTGGTTGCTTCTTAGTTTCAGAAATACCAGAGTTATCTTCTTCTCTTCCAACAATTCTGAGCTTGAAAACACTGTGTTGCTTTTGAGCTTCTGTAGAAACCAGAATAAGGATATGAGCCAGAATAACTATGAAGAGGGAGTTAAAATATGACTGGTTTCAAGCAGGTGTGTAGTATGAATTGTATAACGTGTCTTTGAAAAAGGGAAGAAAGTAAATACCAGTAAGTTCCTTTAATGCAGATTAAGGATAAAATGCATCTGTGCTAAAACTGGCAGATGTGCATCTTTTGAATAGTTGCATAATGTGGTAACAAATATCAGTTACATAAGGAAATTTTGAAACTGCATGGTTAAAGCAGGAATATTGCATACAGCTGTATTTTAGCAATCCTAAAATATTTGAGATAGCAAAGGTTCAAGCAGTCACAGAAGTACAGTATAAAATCAGGCTGGATTTCATGAAAAAAAAATCAAGAAGTTTATGTAATCCTGTTTTTTTAAGTATCTAAAAGCTCCTTTTGTATCTAAGTGTATTGACAGAGTGTGTGCATAGAACAGACACTTGTATTTAAAGAAAAGCCTTGCTGTGATGCACAAAGAGAAAGGCAAGCCTTCCTGTTTAAAAAATGGGTTTGAAGTAATGGAACAAAGTTCAGGATTGTAAGAATATGCAGTGCCAGTACTAGGGCCTTCATTTTCTTCTGATCTAAGTGACTTAATTGCAGTGGGAGCCCAAACCAGAATTTAACTGCAGTTTGAACTGACATAATGTTGGCCTTCCAAAGCAGGAGCACTCCGTGTTTCCGTTCTCCTAACAAATATGAGAAAAAGTCTCAGAAAATCACATCTGTAGACAGATTTCTTTTTATCTGTTTCCAGACTGCATCTCTCTCGTGACTGCTTTCAATGGTCTGTGCAACAGGCCACAGTTGTTCTGGCATGTTCTGAGACAGGTAGCAAAGAAAACAGTATAGAAACGTGCGTAGGTTTATCATCTGCTTGTGTAGTTGTGGGAGAGTGAGCTTAAGTGTGTTTAAAATATGAATTGTGTGTCAGTGTTTTAAGTCTAATGTGTAAAAATTTATTCAACAGAGGAGACCAAGCAAGTTTTAAGACTGAGCTTGACTGAATTTTCTCTGCCTAAATTTTATTTGCTGTTTGGAATCAGCAAAGTGAAGTCAGCTGCAGTCATAGCATTCCGCTCCAGCTATCGAGACAGGTCATTTTCACCTGGCTCCTACGAGAGGGAGACTTTTGCACTGACCTCCTTGGAAACAGTTACTGAAGCTTTGTTGGAGATCATGGAGGTATGTGTTTCAAAACAAGGTTACAGTGCTGCTTATTCTACCACAAGCAGTTTAACAAGGAGTGCCTCCAATGACATGATAAGGAACACTTCTGACAACCAAAATAACTGAACATTCTGAATTAAAATAATTCATTTTCTTTATGTTATATATGTTCAAACAATGTCATTCTTTTTAGGCTTGTATGAGAGATATTCCAACATGCAAGTGGCTGGACCAGTGGACTGAACTGGCTCAAAAGTATGTTACAGATCTCAAAGCATGACCCCTGACTGCCTGTGTAGTACACATAGAATTTTCAGTTTTCCATTGTGCAGCTTGTCTGCTGTATATTCATTTAATGTAGTGTACTCTGTTTCTTCACAGGTTTGCATTCCAGTATAATCCATCCCTGCAGCCAAGAGCACTTGTTGTCTTTGGCTGTATAAGTAAGCGTGTCTCTCATGGACAAATAAAACAAATAATCCGAATTCTTAGCAAGGTATATGGGTCTGTATTTGTCTTCCTCTCTGACACATAAAGTAACTAAATTTTTTAGTATTCCTATTGAATATAAAACTCAGCATAATTTCACAGGAAATACATTCTTCAAGCATATTCTACAGGGAAACCTGATAGGAAATTGTCTTTGTAGGCCTGCCTGGCTTTCTATTTTAAATTAGTTTGGTGACAATGAGTTTATCAGTGCAGCTACTTCTAGAGTAACATTAATTTTCAGTATTGAGTTTAAAATTTGAGACACTGAATTTAGATCCAGAAGAGTCAGTATTAAGATAAATGAGAAATTTTCTGGTAATGCAGCTAGCTGTGTGTGTTACTCTTTTTTTTTTTTTTTTTTTTTAAGGACGTTAACAGTGTATAACAACTAAATACAATAAAAAGCAGAATGTTTGTATAAGAAAACTTTGCAACATACTACCTACCTTGGTAATTATGTCCATATTTTCTAAAGAAGGTTGTGTTCTAAAGCAGCTGAACAGTGGTAAATTTCTTTAAGTATTCTACTAATGTTATGTGGACATAAGATTTAGCTGTGCAGTGTCTGAACTGCAGAAGAGCCATTCTGTGGCTCTTGCACCCTTACTTTTTTAGTACACATTGCATGATTGTTTACAGCAATGAATAAATGCTTATGTAGATCTTCATTTCTGAAACTCCTTTCAAATTGGTTTAAAGGGAACTCAGCCTTTGTAAACTAATTGAGAACTACATTATAGTTTAGAGCTTTCATCTTTTCATAAAGCAAAATCTAATTATGGGTTCTGTTTTCTTATTATTCTTTTTTTCTACAAAAAGGGACTTGAGAGCTGTTTAAAAGGCCCTGATAATTACAATAGCCAAGTTCTAATAGAAGCAACGGTTATAGCACTCACCAAACTGCAACCTCTTCTTAACAAGGTAAGCAACTGGATTTCTGGAGTAAAAAGAATGTATTTTGTAAGTTATAATTACGAGTATAAACTTAAAAATGTATGTAAGTCTTGTGGTATCTGATGTTCACACATCACTGCTATGACTCACGCTTGAAAGTACTACATATGGGAAGTATGTCACAGATGTTTGTATGTGCAGAAGCTTTAAAAAGACTTCAGAATGTACTGTTCTGCTTCATCAAACTGGGCCATAGCAATGTACGCAAAGGCTGCACCACAGTTTGCATTCATTCTCACCAAAAGATTTTCCATCTTGGCTTTTGAATTTGCAATTGTTCGTACATCTTTCTGATCATGCCTTGTAATACATTTTGATTATGTCTTATGTAATATTAATTTAGCCATTTTATGTTACTTCAGTGAATTGCTCAGCATATCAGTAGATGCACCATTAATGAATCACTTCAAAATTTTCCTGTGGAGTGGCATTGTCATGCACACTTAAAAGAACACACTTCTATGGCAAAGTTCTAGAAGGGATTTCTGGAGAGTATGGATGTATTCAGAACTCCTTCTTTGTTAATACCTTAAAAGATATGCTAAAAAAATTAAACTTGTTTTTCCGGCCAGGTGTATTTGAATGGCTGCTTTAATGTGCACATTTGACTTTCATTCACATAGCCAAAGACTTAAAAAAAAAAAATTAACATTAACTTCAGTTTGTTTCATTCTTTACTTGGTAGCTTTGCACTGTCTTATGTGAAAGTAGAATCGTGGCCTTTTCGTTTCCCTTCTCCTTCCAGGACTCCCCTATGCACAAGGCCCTCTTCTGGGTAGCCATGGCAGTACTGCAGTTGGATGAAGTCAACCTGTACTCAGCAGGTACAGCACTGCTTGAACAGAATCTGCATACCTTGGATAGCCTTCGAGTGTTCAATGATAAGGTAAGCAAGCCCCCTGCTAGTAATCAGCTATGATTAACCCTTAGCTCATGCAAGCAGTTAGTTCTAATCAAAAGAAAAACTACATATATTCCTTGTCCAAGTGAACAATAATTAAGCAATTAAAACTGAAATCTGCATTGCAAGCTGTTTACTTGTGTAGTATCAGCAGTACACCGTGATGTAGAGATGACAAACTAACTAGGTTAGTCCCAAACTGCAACAGAGAAATACATAGATGTATTCAAGTCAGGAGTGCAGTCAATAGGTTCCTGTACTTTCTTAAGTTACTGTGTTTTGTCACTGTTTTAATTGATTATGATGAGTAACCTTCAATCAAATAGGCTGTTCTGAAGAAATTCATAATGGGGGCAGTGAGGCCGTGGCACAGCTGCCCAGAGCAGCTGTGGATGCCCCATACCCAGAGATGCTCAAGGCCTGGCTGGGCCCTGGGCAGCCTGAGCTGGTGGGAGGTGTCCCTGCCCATGGCAGGAGATGTGCACTGAGGTCCCAACCAAAACTACTCTTTGATTGTATGAAATATTCTTATGTCTTATTTTCTCTGAGTCAGAGCCCAGAAGAGGTGTTCATGGAGATCAGGAGACCACTTGAATGGCACTGCAAACAGATGGATCATTTTGTTGGGCTAAATTTCAACTCCAACTTCAACTTTGCACTAGTGGGGCACCTCTTGAAAGGTAAGAGTGCATGTTGCTCGTGTGTGGAAATGAATGTGTGGTTTCATTTGCTATAGTACATTACTTCTTTCTCCCAGAATACTTTCTCTCCCTGTGCTTGCCTGTATCTGCTCACTGAAGATTGATTTGTGAGATATAGATGCAATATATGTGCAGACATTTGTAATTATGTGATTTTGGACAGAGGGACCAAATTAATAGTCCTGAATGTGCAATTTCTTTTAGTGTTGTACTTCATTACCCTACATGTGAAGTGTCCTGAGAACATGCTGGAAAATATTTATAAATGCTTTTAAAAAATATTTATGCTTCATAAATATGTATTCAAAAATTAAATACAAGATTTGGTGTTTAAACCTCATTTTGCAGGGTACAGGCATCCTTCACCTACCACTGTAGCAAGAACAGTAAGGATTCTACATACACTACTAGCTCTGGTTAACAAACACAGGAACTGTGACAAGTTTGAGGTGAACACCCAGAGCGTGGCTTACCTAGCAGGTGAAATTAAACAAACATTCTTTTGAACTTGCATTAACTGGAAAGGAGTGGGTTATTGTGGGAATATCTTCTGGTGTTAGGCTAATTACTCTGTTATCAATATGAAGGAAACTTGTAACTGGAGTTGGACAAGAGTCTGGGCTAGGCTGCTGTGCATCACTGACATAGTGTGGTCTGAAGGCTTGTCAGCTCAGGACCGACTGTGCAACTTCCAAAATGCTTCAGGGAGACTGAAGGTGTTTTGTTTTAAATTCTAAAGTGTGGTGTTCCTTGCAGAATTTACATTTCTAGTGGTCTAGAAACAGAAAACATGGCTGTATGAGGGCAAATGCTTAGATCATGGAATTCTAGCTGGTTGGAGAATACAATTATTTTTTTAATGACCTACTTTTAATCCGTACATTTCAGTAAGGTGTAATTACGTCTCTGTGGTCTTTTTTGTACTAAGTAAAAAATGTGAATAGATGCTTACCTTCTTCAGTGTATTCCTGACGTAGAAAATTTGCACCAACTTTCTTTGATTTTTTTTTAATTTAGCTTTGCTGACAGTGTCTGAGGAAGTTCGAAGTCGCTGCAGCCTAAAACACAGGAAGTCTCTCTTGTTGACAGATGTCGCGATGGAAAATGTTCCTATGGATACATATCCCATACATCACAGTGACACTAGCTATAGGTTGGTTGTCTAGCTTTTCGATAATAAAAGTTACCCAAATTTCGATCTCTGTTTTCTTTACTAAGTTATCTAAAGGTAAGCTATGATATATAGAAAACTAAACCCCATGTTCATTAAAGCTAAGTCAATGTTCAACTGCACATTGGTGGTTCCTGACCAATATGCTACTGTGACCAAGAATCATAGGACATTTTGTTTATTGAATCCCTAGAGATATGATTTTGAGATCTCTGGAGCAATTTCAGACTTCAGTTAACTGCTTTGGAGATTCTTAATCTTTTTTTATAACCCTTTTCTATGAGATCTAATCTCACCTCATTCTTCATTTGCATTTTAGAGTAAAATTGTTTGTCTTTTTAAGAAGTAAGGAGATGCTAAGTAATTGCTTGATTCCTTACATTGGAAAACTTTGACATCTTATTGACTGTCCATATGCATCCACAAAAGTAGGCTAGGAAATCAACCCTGAAGTGCCATGCAGAGTCAGATTTTCTCAGTACGGAGCACTCAGTACCTCTCCTTTTAGTATCCAGTATGGAGCAGCAGATCTTAAATGTCTTACATTTTGCCTTATGGGCAGATTTGCTTATGTTCTTATTGCTTTATTTTTGGCTCTTCAGCATTAGGTTCATACCAAATTGTTCATTTTGACTAGCTCAGACATTTTTCTAGCCAAATAAATATAACTACATATTTCTGGGAGATTAACCTGCTAGAAAATACGGTTTTAATAAAGGATACTTTGGCTAGCTGAAAAATTAATGTCTGAATATGCAAAAGTTTTAAAGATTTTCTTAATTTCTCTGCACTTTCAGGACACTAAAGGAAAATCAACCGTGGTCATCACCAAAGGGCTCGGACAGACATCTGGCTGCCAGTTACCCAACAGTGGGACAGATAAGCCCTCGAACACGAAAGTCCATGAGTTTGGATATGGGGCAGCCTTCGCAAGCAAACACTAAAAAGCTTCTAGGTTATTAAGATGCCTAATTTACTAATTTGTCTACAGGATACTCCATGAAACGTTACTGGAGAAAAATTATACTTGTATTTGTTTTTACTCTAAGTACTTATTCCTGATTCAGAGAAATACACATGATTTCTACAAAATGGGAAGAGAGGACACTACAATTGAAGAGGAATAATTTGGTTTGCTTTGATCAGGAATATGGGAAATGTTACTCAGAATATGCATGCTGAAGTGATTTTAAAAAAATAATAATAATTCAGATACTTAAGGTTCATAGTGCCAGTTTTCTGGGGAGCAGACTCTTTGGCAGGGTCTGTTGTGTCAGACCAAGGACCAATGGTTTCAAACTACAAGAGAGGAGATGTAGTTTGGATATAGGGAGGAAGTTCCTTACAGCAAGGATGATGAGGCACTGGAACAGGTTGCCCTGATAAGTGGTGGTGCCCATCCTTGGAGACAATCAGGTTTAGGCTGGACCAGGCCATGAGCACCTGGTGGAGCTGTGGATGTCCCTGTTCGTTGCAGGGGGGTGGGACAAGATGACCTGTAAAGGTCCCTTCCATCTCAAAACATACTATGATTCTGTGAAAAGAGTTCTCCACATAACTTGTACATAAGTGTACATGGAAGAAGAGAGGCATTTCTTTCATTACAATCCTGTTACTGCTTCCTTTTCAGTAATCACATTTTGGCATGTTTATTCAATGTGATGTGTTGACCAGGAAACCATAGCATGCCCACAGCTTACATACTTGAATAAACTGCATGCTATTCTCATATGCATTGTGAAGCATTTTGGAAACTGTGATGGAGAGCGGCATGGTGTAACCATAATTTCTCTACCATCTCTGAAAATGTCCCCAGATTCCTATTGATATGTTGCAGATAGGATAGTAGGTTGGCCAGACAATCAGAAATATTAAAGTATGGATTTAGGTTTAATGTTTTTAATTTCCTGATAAATTGTTTTTAGGTACAAGGAAAAGTTTTGACCATTTGATATCGGACACAAAGGCTCCTAAAAGGCAAGACATGGAATCTGGAATCACAACGCCTCCCAAAATGAGGAGAGTAGCCGAAAATGATTATGAAATGGGTGAGAAACAGGACTAACATTTTCAGAATAACACTAATTATAAATGCTTTGTATTTATATACAAAGGATTATTTCCAAATTCAGTGTTTATTTGCTTAGGTTACTACAAGGTAAGGGAGAAATATCTTAATAATGGCTTCTGGAGAGTGTAGTCTTCCATATCTCTGGCAATTGAGGTTTGAGTTAGAGTTGCTCAGTTTGTAGGCGCAGAATAAGGGGCAGCTATAAAGTACCATATACAGGAGTGAAATAAGTAAAATTTGGCTTTTTATGGCTTACTGAGCCCTAGCTGCAGATCTTGCAAGTGGAATCTGACATGATGCCTAGAATGCCTCTCTTCATCTTCTCCCACATCTGCTTCCTGTGACCCCATCCCCAATTGCAATGCAAGACCAGGGTTCTTCTGTTGTATCTGATGTCAGTCTGCTGCCTGACCCTGAAAACATTACTTACCACCCCTGGGCCTGTATTTCACTGAATAGGAAATTGGGGTTATTGTTTGCCATTTGATAATACATCCCATGTGACAGTCTAGCTCTGCTAGTATTACAGCATAATTGTTGCTTTTTTATACTTTATGAAAATTCTGGTGAACTCTGAAGTTTGCATATAATTGAGCTTGTTATGCAAAATCTAATTCTGTTTTGGTTTAGGTTTATTTTGCTTTCGATTAGTTGGTCTTTTTTATTTGGCAGAAACCCAGAGAATATCACCACAGCAGCACCCCCATCTCCGAAAAGTTTCTGTTTCTGAGTCAAATGTTCTCCTGGATGAAGAAGTTCTGACTGATCCAAAAATTCAAGCGCTGCTGCTTACAGTTCTTGTAAGCCTTCTTTCTGTGTATTATTGTGTGTTACTTTCTGATTTTCTTTCACTGGCCAAAGAAATGTTCCTTGTGGTACTTCATGAATTAGAATGCATTGTGCCACTCTACTCTTTTGCTGCTTTCCTTCACACTTCCTAGGAATCAGTCTTATAAATCCATTTAAAAAAAACAACGCAAGGGGAAATCTGGAATTTCCATGATTCTATATTGTAGTTCAGAACATGTCTAACAATTGATTCTTTTTCCTGACAGAATTTTACTACAAACTGATTTTATATAACAAGAAGCTATTCTTATGTATTACATATTTTAAAAGTTAGGAAGAAAAAATTGCTAGAATACCAGCGCAATTCAATTTAAACCTTGACTAAATTGTAATGTAGCAACCAGTGTGTAAGTGCTTTCACCAGGTACAACAATACACTTTGCACTCCTGTTATAATGCAGAAAGACTGAGTTGCACAGTTTTGTCAAAAACTGATTAGCTAATTTTGGGCCAAAATAGAAGCTGTTATCCAACTGTTCTTATTGTTTCTCATGACATAAAAAAACTTAATGTCTTCAGATTAATCTTCTGTAATGCTGCTTCTTCTGGAACCTGAAATCTTAAAAACCTTAAACTACAGTAACAAGCGAAAAAGCCTGTAACTACTCAGCCTCCCTGAGAAGCATGCTGATTTAGTCCTTTGCATTATCACAGGCAACGTTAGTGAAGTACACTACTGATGAATTTGACCAGCGGATTCTATATGAATATTTAGCAGAAGCCAGTGTTGTCTTCCCAAAGGTCTTTCCTGTTGTGTAAGTATCTAAAGCTGTTTGTGATGATTCTGTATTTGGCATTCCTATAAAATGTCTCTGGACCAGGGCAAGCACGTGTGAGGTGCTTTACACATTTGTACGTTATGAGCAGCAGTCTGTCCTTTGCTTCAGACAGATGTCCATCACAGCTTGGGAACATTATGTTTACTTAACATAGGGGAAAAAGGAATGTTCTAGGGGAATGGGCATCCTCACATAGCACTGCTACAGGTGGTCCTCTGGCACACGTCTGGTTTCTGGGCAGGTTGGCAGAGCAGCCAGTCTGTGACTGCCTGTCTGTGCAGCCATCCATTCCTCCCAAAAGCTTTCAGTATCACTGCTGCCATTTCGGTAGTCTGGTGACTTAGTGTGGCTTTGGCATTTATTTGGTACTGTGGAAAATTACTTTTTAAGTGTATAATCAAATAACTTTTTACTCATCTAGTTTTCTATAGAAGTCAACATATACAGTTTTATATAATTTTGTACCAGATAGACTCAAATTTTTTAATCAGTAACCCAAGTGCATATCAAAACTGATACAAAGTGTACTTCAGGATACTCTTTCAATGTATTTTTTTTAGATATGGGTTAGAAAACTGTGTATTTATCTTGCAGAAAAAGATAATCCACTGTTCTTCTCTTTAGGCATAATTTATTGGATTCCAAGATCAACACCCTTTTGTCGCTGTGTCAAGATCCAAATTTGTTGAATCCAATTCATGGGATTGTTCAGAGTGTTGTCTACCATGAGGAGTCTCCACCCCAATACCAAACTTCTTATCTACAAAGTAATTTTATTTTTTATTGCTGAATTCAAAGTTAGATATCCTAATGAAAATGCCTTCGCAAAAGAGTTGATCGGTTTTGTTGTGTGGATTCTCTCTGACCTCATAAAACCTTCATAACATTCAGTTTGTTGTTGTAGGTTTCGGATTTAATGGGTTGTGGAGGTTTGCTGGCCCATTTTCCAAGGTAAGAGATTTACCTTGGATTTTTTTTTTACCTTTGTTCTCTTTATAAACCACGCTGATGGTCCAGGTATGATGCAGATAAGTGATAAATGACAAAACTTACACCAGCAACTCAGTAACATAAGGGTCACTTTTATGGCTAGAAGTTTTTTAGCCTGCAGCAGCTATTTTGATGAACTCAATAAGGTAAACTTACTGAAGCTGGATAAAAGCAGTC